AAGTGCGTGAGAGGACGAAAATGGCGGGGGCGGTTGGGAAGTTGGAAATGGTGTTCAACAGTACATCTTATCATTAAAAAAATCAACTGTAAAGATTTGTGTAGTGGTAAACATCGAGATTAATTAAATGCAGGCACACGCTTCTGTTTCTTGGCCTGCTTTGTGGTTTAATCAAAGAATCCGAGACAGTGCAGTAAATGCATTGATGATCAATGCTGTGTCGGGGGGGGGGGGGGGGGGGGGGGTGAAGAACGCGTGTACTATCTATACACTCTTTAGGAACGATTATAGTAATGCAGACTTTTGGGGCGATAACTATGACGTTCAAATGCATTTCTAATGTGGATGATTTTAAGCCCCCATCGACATAATTTAGATTATTTAGGAGGGGGACTTCCGACCCTGCCTGTCATGGCCAACAATCAATGTCCCAGCGGAGAGACCGAGATATTCGATAAAGATTCTCCCTACTCGATAATTGAACTCAGGTCTCCTGCGTCTGACAGCCAAGCCCCTAACAGCAACACCACAGACGCCGGTTAACTATGACTGAAACAATGGGTATGAAAACGAAAATGTGTGAAATAATGACAATGATTGTTATATATTATATATATATATATATGTCATAATATTTATATAACAAAAAGAAAAGAAAGACAGGATGCGATTGTAACCAATGATTTATGATCATTTTTTTGCGTCAATAAGAAATGGCATGATGACGTATATAATATAGTATGTATGTATATATAATATGTATAATTATAATAAACTATTTACAAAACAGAAACATTCATGACACATGGAATTGAAATTATGGAGATAAAAAAATCTAGGTTAAAAAAAAAAAAAGTCTTCTAGTAGAAGATAAGCATTTCAAACAACAATCTATCTTCATCTTCTAACTCAAGCAGCCAAGAACTAACAGCAGTGGGTTTCCTATCACAAAGTTATTCACTTAAATTCCATAAGTGACTAAGATGGAGAAGGATATTATCAGGCAACTCAAAGCTCTGCTGACTACAGGTAAAAAAGATGAGACATCTATGAAGTAATCTTGAAGACATCAAAATCTACCAAGTCACAGAACTAATATTGTTGAGGGTATCAGCAGTAATAGACGAGTAAGGATGTTATGATGTTCTTTGAAATAAAGTAAGGTCACAGAATGTTCTTTGAAATAAAGTAAGGTCACAGAATGTTCTTTGAAATAAAGTAAGGTCACAGAATGTTCTTTGAAATAAAGTAAGGTCACAGAAGTGTTATTTTTCATATTTCCACGAGCACTTTTTCCTTTATCCAAGCGTAAAGCGACCTATAAAATACACTTTTCAGAATCATCACGTGTATTGCATGTAAAGAAATGTGTTAGCACAAAGAACGTGCAAGGGAAAAACCACCAACTGAGATTGTTGCCAGCAAAACTGAGAGATAGTTCTTTTATCAGAGAAGTCTTGAAGGTATTAATCTCTCTTTAGAAAAGGAAAATCTACGTCCAGTGTTATTTCTATCCCGACCCTCCGCATATACAATGTACACCCACTCACGAACATTACGCCTCACCCCGTCTTTCTATTTCACATATCTCACCTACTCCCGCCCTCATTCCCTCTGATTTATCTCTCTCCCACTGTCTTCCCTCTTTCTCCATCCCTCTGTCTATCTTCTATATCCGTTCGAAGTTTGATATTTAATCATGTGATAAGTCAACAGAACAAAAATTAAACAAATAAAAAACCAACCGACAAACAAATGAACAAACAAAACAAACATGGACTGAATATTTTTTGCAATACCAAAGTTTTAATCTTCTCTCTCTTTCGGTTTTTATGACTTACCCGAATGCAAACGCACTCAAACAAACGAATACACACACACACATCACATAGACGTTCACACAGCCACGTACACATACATGTATATATCTGTATATATCATGTGTATATATATGCTCTGTCAAACATATTAAAATGTTCGTACATATATACACATACATACATATACCATATACACATATACACACATACACACATACACACATACACACATACATACATACACACATACATACACACAAAGATACATACATACATACATACATACATACATACATACATACATACATACATACATAAAAAAAGTAATATCAACATAAAAATTACATCGCATTGAGATAAAGAAATTGAAGCTTAGATTGCGTCGTCCTGCACCGTATGATTGGAAACTTATTCAAAGTATTAGCTTTACTTTCATAAAACTAGGACGGACGAAACCTTTGGCGGATGCCGCCTCTGGAACAAAAAATAATAAATTAGATCTATACGACCAAGTCTTAACAGCTGTAAGGGCTCAAACACACTGGATCCGGTTTTCGGTTCGTTTTTCGGGCTTTCGTTTCGACAACTTGATAAAAAAAAAAAAATATTTTTTAAATCGAAAACCGACACATGACAAAACAGGGATTAGTCTGTGAGTCATTTCGAGTACATGATTCTGTACTTTTCAATGCCTCTTCGGCTTGTGTCAGCTGAATATGCCATTATTCAATAAAAGTGCTGACAGCCGAAATAAAAACCGTAATCCACTGTGTTTGAGCCCTAAAACGTACTTACAGGCATTGCATGTATAATAAACTGGTTTGTTTCCAGATACATAAATTAGATAATGTCATGGTTCATTTTACGATGCAAATGTTGAGTTTGTGAAAGACAAATGCAAGTAAAAGTAAACAGCTGGTGGGTACGGGCTGACAAAAAATGAAGTGAGTACACTTAGTTATGCACGTGCATGCAGTCGAGCGAGGTATAACCTTGAAGAAACATGTTTTTGCAAGGGTGAGGATTGTACAGGATTGGTTGGTGTAAGAGTTGAGAGGACAGAATGCGTTAATCTAACAAACGTACAGTGGACTGTGTGTTAGACAAACAGATATCAGATACATATATTATAATAACTTACGTCAAGCACAACAAAACTTTTAATGGATCGAAGAACAAAAAGAAACTCTTTTATTTAAAACATATCATTATGTTAAGATTACGATAATGTATGAAAGTAGGACAATGCAAGACCAGTACACTTTGACATCACTTATTACATAATATCACACACGCGCGCGCGCGCGCACACACACACACACACACACACACACACACACACACACACACACACACAC